TTTAAATCTGTAGCAGGAAGGCAGGCAGAAGGGGGCTGGGAAGGATCTAGGCAGAAACTCTATAACAAATCTAAATAGATCAGCTTTAGAGATAATATAGTTTTCCTTATTCTAATAAAGTTCCATGTTCAGTCTTAGAAGAACTCAACTCTGTGATTCTTTTATATTGTCATATGGCTGGACCAAGGAACGGGGTTTCTTTCCAATCCAGTATTTTGGTTTGGACTGCTAGAGAGAGTGGGACTATCTAAATCGTTTGTATCTAGCTCTAACTTTCCTCAAAATTTGGAAGTGTTTAGAAATGGACTTTGGTTTGGGACTTTATTTCAAAATGGGACATTTAGAAATCTCAATTTAAATAAACCCTCTTGTGTATTATTTATATGGAGCATTGCTCTTCATGTACTAGGTGCTTTCAAAACACTCAGGAAGTTTTTGATCTGAGGGGCTCACAATCTAAGAAATTTATATAGATTGTGAAATATAATAATCTAATGTATTCATATTGTCACAGCTTCATACAGTGTTAGAAATACAAATGAACCTCATCAGATCCGAAGGTCTTTCAAATGAAACCTGAAAAAATAGGTCCTGTCCACACTCTGGATGCTAAAAGACCCCATGCCACCTTTTTAAAAGTAGAGGTTTGCCTTTGGCCAACATTGCCCTGTCCTGCTAGTGTAGAGAAGCATGGTGGGTACTAGTTCCATGCTTCTCTGTATGCTGGAGACATATCTGTGATGGAGGGATATAAGGGTGCTGAGAACTCTGGTCCTAATCTGATCTGAGTTCAATGGGACTACTTATATGATTAAAGCTAGCCAGGTGCACAGCTGTTTTGCTTGATAAGGGCTAGAGTGCTCCTCACCTTACAAGATTGAGCTCATAGTTTGTGGTGTGCTGTCAGACCCTTTTTCATTAAAAATGTCAGATCTTTACTTCCCTGCTTATGCTGGAGAACCTTTTGGAAGACTAGAGAATTAATGGGATAGTGAAATCAACGTAAAACATTAATTTTGCTGGGAAAGCTGCAATTCAAGTCCATTGAGAAAGGAAGATTATGGGCTTTTTGAGGGGATGGGGAAAGCAATGGGAGAAACAAACATGTTATGTTAGACAACAATAACTGTGTTTAATAAAGAATAACTGAAAAGCTGCTAATGAGCAGAACAGGATGGGGGCGGGGGGGGGGGTAAACTGGGAAGTTTACAGAAGCAACCCAGCAGAGTGTGTGTGTGTGAGCCGGGGAGCAGTTAGAGGGAAATTGGCAACCTGGTGGGATTAGCAGAGCAGGGATGGCTGGGGGTAGGGTGAACAGACGTTCCGTTTTTAAGTGGACAGTCCCATATTTAAGACCTCCTGCGGAGGTCCTGACTTTTTCTTAAAAATGGGCAAATTGTCCTGTATTTTCTGTCTCCCCCTATTGGTACTGGCGGATCCTGCTGCTGGCCGGATCCCAGCTACCCTCCCACCAGCAGTGAGTGGGGGGTTTCAGTGGCTGATGATGATGAGGGTGAGTGTGCAATGCTAGTGGCGGGGCCGGACGCTCCCCATGCTGGTCCATCAGTGCAGCCCCTGTTGCATGCCGGCCCTTGGCCAACAGGGCCTTGCCCCCCTTCCCATTTCTGGCCGGAACTGGCTGTGCACTGCAGTGGCTGGTAAGTACAGGCAGGCGCAAGGCAGCAGCTGGTTATGTGTCGCCTGTGCTGCCCACCCATCCAGGGCCGGCTTTAAGCCGATTCGGCCGATTCCCCGGAATGGGGTCCCGCGCCTAAGAGGGCCCCGCAAAATCCGGGACTGCAGGCGGAGCGGAAAAAAAAAAAGCCGCGTCCTGCTTCTCCCCCCTCCCTCCAGCGCTTGCGCCGCCATACAGCTGATCAGAGCAAGCCTGGGAGGGAGGGGTGAGGAGGAGGAATGCAGCGTGCTTGGGGAAGACATGGGGCCAGGGCGGGGATTTGGGTAGGGATCCAATGGGGCAGTGAGGGGGCGGGGCCAGAGTGGGGATTTGGGGAGGGAGCCAATGGGGCAGGGAGGGGGCGGAATTGGGGTGGGGGGGCACTAGACAATTCGCGTCCCGACGTGGGGCCCCGCACCTGCTAAAGCCGGCCCTGCACCCATCAGCCCTTTATGTGCTCCCCCTCTCACTGTCCTCTCCCTGCTTTTGCCCCTTCACCTCCCCCAGCCCTGCTGCTCCTCCATTTCCCTCCTCTGCCCCCCAGCGGGGTGCATCCTGCTCCCAGTGCTGTGCGGAGAACTAGCCCTGGGTCAGAACGCTCAGCTTACTAACAGCCTGGCCGGCAGGCTCCTTCCTTTCCTCACTGCCTCTGGCTGGGCTGGTGCCCCTGAAAAGCCCAAGACCCTCCGGCCTGGGGCGCTGGGCAGGAGGAGCCAAGCCCTGCATGTGACAAAGCCCCACACAGTGCTGGCACAGGGAAGCCTCTCTGCCCCTCATCTAAGCTCTGGGGTACTGGGAGGAAGCGATTTCTAGCCTGTTCAAGCCCTAAACCTGCAGTCTTCACAGCAGCCCCCTGGGGCAGGGGCTTAGCACTTGCTCCCCTCCCCCCACCCCAGCCCCGTGCCCTGGGTCCTGCCTCCAGGGAGCCCAGGTCTGTTCCATCCCCTAGGCACCCTGCCCTGCTGAGCCCCTCTCTGGCCTGGTTTGCTGAAGCCCCTGAAGTCAGGTTCCCTGGGCCCTGGTGCACAATGCATCTTTAGGGCTTAACCCCTTCCTGCCTGTGCTGTAGCCAGGGGACAGGAGGCCCCTGGGTTATGTCAGTGGTCAGTGGTCAGCAGCAGCCTGGAGATGTTAGCTGCCTTTCCACACTGTGTGGGCAGAAAGGGACAAGCTGCTTCCAACCACGGGTGGGGGGGGGAGAGGCGTGGGAGCATGGAGGAAGAGATGAGCTCTGCAAAGATGGGGGCCAGGTCATCCCTTCCCCCTTCCCCCACCCCCATGACTGGAAGTAGCTCCCGTCCCTTCCCTCGCGCACAGTGCCGAAAGGCTGCTGCTGGCCACATTCTGGTGTGAATCCTGGCAGAAATCTGGGGGGGGGCATGCGACCCTGTGTGCCCCCCCATGGATTGCATAGGGAAGACGCAGTGCCAAGAACCAGGAGAGGCGGGTCCATCCTGGGGGCCCAGCCAGGCATAGAGGGCAGAGAGTGCCAGGCAAAGAGGTTCAGCTTGGTCAGTCACCACTCCCCCCCCTCTCCCCCCCGTCCGTAAGAGAGGTGTACAGAAATGTGTGTGTGTGTGTCACCCCTCCCCGTGTATGTGCGTTTGGGTAGCGGTGTGTGTGTAACCCCTCCTTGTGTGAACCCTAAAGCCTTAAAGATAAGAAGGTAAATAAAAATAATTCAACTACACAGTATTTTTTAATGGGGGCTCAGTCAACTTGATGTTAATTTGAACGTTTGTACAGCATAGTTCTGATTGATTACTGTTGAACTCGCTTGAATACAAGTAATTTATTATGTGTCCCATATTCAGTATAGGAAAATATGGTCACCGTAGCTGGGGGAGAGAGTGGGAGGCTGGTAAGGCTAGTGAGTTTGTCAGGCATGATAGGAGTTGCTATTACAGAACAGTGAAAACCCTTTGCAAGGACCACGAAGCTGGTAGGGCTAGTGGATGGGGATGGAGTAGGGAGTCAGGTCAGCCCTGATGTGCGTAGCTGCGGGTGGCTATCTTACAACAGAAAAACTTCAAAAACAGACTTCAACGAGAGACTGCTGAGCTGGAATTGATATGCAAACTAGATACAATCAACTCAAGATTGAATAAGGACTGGGAATGGCTGAGCCATTACAAACATTGAATCTATCTCCCCTTGTAAGTATTCTCACACTTCTTATCAAACTGTCTGTACTGGGCTATCTTGACTATCACTTCAAAAGTTTTTTTTCTCTTACTTAATTGGCCTCTCAGAGTTGGTAAGACAACTCCCACCTGTTCATGCTTTCTGTATGTGTGTATATATATCTCCTCAATATACGTTTCACTCTATATGCATCCGAAGAAGTGGGCTGTAGTCCACGAAAGCTTATGCTCTAATAAATTTGTTAGTCTCTAAGGTGCCACAAGTACTCCTGTTCTTCTTGTAGCAGACCTAGTGGACCAGGTTGGACCAGACCTAGTATATATGTCTTTGGAGTGGAAAGGCGAGTAGGGACCCCACTCTACCCTGTGGCTGCTGGGTGAGGGGTTGTAAGTACAGGGCTAGCCCTACTCTGGTGTGTATGAGTGGAGAAGTAGGGAGGCAGGTAAGCCCTGGTGAATGTGTCTGGGGGAGGGGGAAAGATTAGGGGGTGGCACAGACTTGGCACATGAGAGTGACTAGAGAGTTGGATCTACACTGGTGTGTGAGTGGGAGGAGGGAGATGAGCAAGGAAGATGAGCCCTGCCCTGGTGTGAGGTGTGCATGGGGCAGGGCTAGGTATGAGTAAGGGCCCTGCCTTGTTGTATCTGGGATAGGAGGAAGGAGGCCAATCCTGCCTGCTGGGTCTATGGTTGGGAAAGTGAGCAAGGAGGGTGGGTGGGCCCTGCCCTGATGTGTGAGGTGTGTGTCTCATGCAGGGTAGGGGTGAGTTAAGTGCCCTGCCCCAATCTGTGTCTGGGGTAAGGGGCCAAACCAGCCCCAGCTTGAGGGATGAGGACATATGGGGGCAAGGATGGCCCAGCCCTCTGGTGGGGAGGGTTGAATCCTGCCCTGCTGTGTGGGGGGAGGAGGGATGAGTATGGGTGTGTGTGGGTGTGTGTGTACCCTGTCCTGGGGAGGGGAGTGAGTAGGGGGCTGGCCTAGCGCTGTCCTCCGGGGTGGTGGTGAGAGGAAGGGTTATAGACCCTGCCCTGCTATATGTGTGGCGGGTAGGGGGCCCCGCGTGGAGGGAGCCCTGCCTGAAGGCAGCGGAGCGAGGAGGGGCCGCCCTTGCACTGTTGCGTGGGGCGGGGTGGCTGGTGGGCCCGGCCCAGCACGGTTGGGGAGGGGGTGGCTAGCTCCGCTGTTGCCCTTTTAAATGTGTGAGAGGGTGCTGGAGGCTGGTACAAAGGGAGCTGCCGCCGCTCCTGCTTCCTCCACCGGCTCAGGCTGCTCCCCGCCATCTTCCGCCCAGCAGGCGCGGCCGGGTCAGGCCGGGCCGGAGCCGAGCTGCGCGGGGCGCGTGAGGCGAGGTGGCGCAGGCCCGGGCCCGGAGATGAGGCCAGGATGTCGGTGTCAGGGCTCAAGGCCGAGCTGAAGCTCCTCGAGTCCATCTTCGACAAGGACCACGAGCGCTTCCGCATCGTCTCCTGGAAGCTGGACGAGCTGCACTGCCAGTTCGTGCTGCTGCCGCCGCCGCCGGGGAGCAGCCCGCCGCCGCCGGCGCCGCTCACCATCCACTGCAACATCACGGTGCGGGCCGGGCCCCTGGCGGGGGAGGGGGGCACTTGGCACCCACTTAGCCGGGAGCAGCGGGTGGGGGCACGCAGCGCTCGCGCAGGGCGCCCGGCACCCACGGGAAGGGGGTAGAGGTAGCCGTTGCCCCTAAGGTATGGGGCACGGCCCCCTAGCATGGGGTGACTCAGCACCCCGGGGTATGTCGTCCCCATTGGGAAGCAGCATATGGCACCCAGGTGAATCCATCGCCTGCGGGGGCGAGTTTACCCAGTGCCTAGGGGGGCACAGCACCTAGCAACCAGTACACGGGGGGCATGCCAGCTGTGTGCCAGCGGCGTCCTCCGAGCTCGGTCCTGAGACACACTTGGGCTGCCGCTGGCGAGACACTACGCGTGTAGCCTGCCTTCTTCAGAGCCTCGCCTATCCCTGCCTTGATTCCCCTACAGATGGGGAGAAACACCCTTTTCTGCCCACCGCCACCGATTCGGGCTGCCCCTTTCTTTTCTTTTCTTTTCATTTCATTTCATAAAGTATTGAATCAGCACCCCCGCTTTCTGTTTCTCCGCTGAAAATGTCGCCTCTCTTAGCCTGGGGGCATTCTGCGGGATGGGGGGAGAAAGGGGTTTTGCCCACCACTTGATTAGTTATGCTGCGTGTCTGGTTCTTAGTTCGGGAGTTGGAGAAGCTGGGAGCCCTAAACAAAGAGAGTGTAGGCCCTGGAGAGAGCGAGAGCCACCCCCTTGTGTATCCCCACCGTTCCTGCTGTTAGTTTTGTGCCCTAAAACCCATGGGGTGAGGAGAAGGAAAAAGGAGATTGCAGGGGAGAAAAGTACCTCTCCCTAAAGGATTTTAGTGGGACGTGGTAAGTATTTTGCTCCCTCCCCCAAAAGGTGGAAGCCCAGGAAGAAGGTGGAGTGTGTGCACATTACTGAATACGCAATACAAAACCAAGGCCTGAGCTGAGCAACTTGCTTTTCTGTGTGACCCAGCCAAGTGAACGCCACAGAAAAGCTAACTGTTGTTTTGGGGCTTGGAGGGCAGAAGGCATACAGATCTTTTGGTTTTCTTCTACAGCCTGGTATTTACTGTATCTGCATTTCTAAAATACAATTTTAAAATGTGTGTAATGGTGAATAGGAGATTTCACTTCTGAAAGTGACTGAGTTAGCAAGGAGACTGAGGAAACTTAATTGTTGCCCATTTAAAGGGATAAAACTGAGTGCTTGCTGAATAAAATACTTTTCTTGCATAATAAATTTATGGAGGGGGATGTGTCTTGAATAACTCATTTGTGGGGTTTTTGTTTTTTGTTTACATGAGTGAGTAAAACTAGGGAGCAAGCTCCTTATGGTAAAGATAGATAAGGGGTATTTTAGAAAAAAGTTTACTTACCAGCTTTAGAAATAATATAGACCCTGAGCATGCAAAAGGATTTGAACATATGGGAACTAATTCATGTAGAATGCCATTCTAGGTTCACTGTGCAGCATTGGGCCCATAGGTACATGTACCAGTCTATTCGGCAGGACTGTTCTTAAAGGTAGACTGTCTTTAAGGCTTGACTGGGTGAAATTGAGATTTAGTATGTTGGGGGTCAAAGTAAAGATGACAACATAATTCATTGTCTTTCAGAAAAGGATGAAAGTGTCTTCAAACAGACATCAAAGGGTCTGACTGGGCAAATGCCCAAGTACTGAAAGCTGAATATTTAATTATATTAGGAACCCTCAGCCTTGCAATATTAACATTAGTTATTCTTTAATATAATAGAATCAACCACATTTTACCTGTATCATCAGTTACTTAAATTAGCTTAGGGGAAAAAAACTACATATTTTAAAAGAAGGATTTGCAGGTTTGCCAGTTAAATGTCATGGAATTTGTTTTGTACTTACAAGTAGCTGAATAGAAGGGCACTTAATCCAAGTGTACTTACTTTTTTGAAAAACACCAGTAACTTTTTATAATGCAATAGGCAACATGTTTTGGAGCCCTATGTCTAGAAAAATCAGATGAGTTGCATGACTTCCTATAAATAATTTTATTTCAATAGAAAACTATTGCTCTTTTGCTGAGGAGGTTGATTGCTACCTTACCAAGAGCATGACCTCTTTCATAAGTTTCTGAAAAGAATATAAAAGATAGTGTTTCTGCACCATGTAACATCAGTTCAGGATGATGGGTTGTTTTTCCTGTCAAATGATAAGTAGTAAAGCAGCCAGTAGCAATGGATTCTGGGTTTGTGCTGTGGTGTTTCTAGCCTTTTTCTACCTGTAAGGCCACTTTCGGCAGCGGCTCATACATATTTTTATTCCAGGTTGAAATTTTGGTTAGTACTTTTTGGTAGTTGCTTAATTGTCTTATGTCAGAGTGTGAAACCAATAATGTAAAGTGTGACCTAAGCTTTCCCCAGCTTATAGTGGTGTCTGTTTACTATGTTGTGCTGTTATGGTCACTTGCCCCAAAGGGCTGAAACCTCAGCTATGCTGGTTTAAGTGGCATGTGACCTTGCCACAAAGGAACTGAAAATGGCTGTTTTAGACAGAAAAGCCAAGGCTTCTGCTTTGCAAAGTGGTAAGAGTTGAAGTGTCTTGGAAGTTATGTTTGGCACTTCTGCCTAAGGAGGTTGGTGCTGTACAAAACTAGTTAAATTCTCACAGTATAAATAGTGACTTATTCAATCAGTTTTACAGATCGGGGATGGAAACTGAGGTACAGAAGCTGACTTTCACAAAATCACGTGGGAAGTCAGTGGTACAGCCAAGAATAGAATCCTGGTCTCCTGATTCCCAGGCCTGGTGCTTTGCCACAAGTGTGCACTTGCCTTCCTATTAAGGCTTGAAGTGGTGAAGGGAATTCCCTGTAGCAGACTCCTCAGTCTTGTGGTTTTAATTCCGAAGTGCTGCCAGCTTTGTCTCTAGATGTTGTATCTAGTTATAATTCTTACCCCTTGTCCTGCATGGGATCTAGAGTGCTTTTCTAGAGAGTTGGGTCAAGGCATTCTAGGATCTAGAATATATTTTCTGATGACCGTGTTAGCACACACAAACCTGTAATGTTATAAAAAGCCGATGGTAAACATGTGTGGTTCTCTGGAGAAACTCAGCCATTGCTAATGGAGGAGTTATCTCCAGGCTCTGGAATTGCAGTGCAAATATGTAACTTTTAGTCTGTTTGCCTTTCCTAGACAGCTTAACCCTCACAATACTGAAAATCCTCAAGGATATTTTCTTCCACTTTGGAAGAGGACTCCTGGCAAGTGCTACTGTAGTTCCATAGGCCATTAAATGTTTATTTCCTTCCTCCTTTGTGATGTCACAGAGACTAACATTAGCTGATTACTTTTTAAAAGGTGGTGGTAAAAACTTTCCCAGCTAATCAGTTTGGAATATATGCTTGCTACTTAACACAGTAGTAGGTTTCTGAATGCCAAAAGACTCCTATTTATAAGGGAAAATGAATAGCAACTAACCATGTGATCCTTTGCATAGTGTCAATTAGCAAAAACGTTGTACCTTGTGGGACCGTCGTACCACATGTACAGTGTGGTGGCTATATAAACACTTGTGCATTGTGTATGGGCATGAAAACTATTAATATTTCTAATGATCACTCTTACAAAGGAACAAAGTTCTTTCAAGAACTTCTGGACCAAGACCTAAAAGAAATGTAAGTTATCAGATCTCCTTCTAATTAATTCTTTCCACTCTCCAATCTAAAGAGAGACAGCAGAGGGAATACGGCTAAAAAAAATTATCTCTGATTAAGAAACATAGGTACTCACAAGGAATTCAGTGTGCTGAGTTGACATACTTTGACTAGCAGCGTGTGTCTCCTGGAATTTCCCACTGAGATGACATTTTCACTTTGAAGGCCTGGAATAATATCTCACTGGAAAATCAGTTTGTTGAACTATCAAAGCTCAATGTTTTCTACAACTTCCCAGAAATGTTATCCATCTAATTCTTAAAGACCCCTGAAATAAAATTAAGATTTAACTAAATTAATAGCTGATCACCTTTTGGATATAGGATAGGAGTGGTCAAGTAGGCATCCAGTCAGATTTTGAGGAAACTGTTTGCTTTACCCTTGCCAGGAGATTGATCTATATTGGACCTTAAATAGTTAATCCTATTAGTTTCAAAGAGGCATTTTAGGGTGGAGTCATCCATGTCAGAAATACTGATTCTCTGAGAACTATCTAATTATTGAACTTGTTCAGGCCTTGTACCTTTACATTCCCACTTGTTGTGCCAAGAGCAATATCTCTGCTCCACAGTTGTCACCTACCTTTTTTGTGCTCCCTTATTGGTTAGTGACAGCACCTCAGTTACAGTCAGACTGAACAAAATTTGCCTGTTAAAAGTTCCATGTGGATTTACTCTTCTCCCCTTGGGGTGTTTTGAATAAAAAGCCAATCCGTGGACTTAAAATCAGTAGTTTATTGCTTTTCTATAACAATGCTTCTACCTTAAACGTCTTTATTTGAGAGCTGTAGAGTTTCAATTCGAGATGTCACAGCCTAAGTTTGGTAAGGTACCAAAAGTTAAGTGTTGTGATTGGATGTTCTGCTTTCTTTTCACGGAAAGAGAAGGAACTACCCATATGAACTGGTATCTGAAATGCACAGACTGCATTTTAGGTAGAACTCTTATTTTCTTTTCTGCAAGTGGTGTGTGGTTTTTTTATTTTTTGTTTTTGTTTTGTTTTAATTCTTGGCTCACTTCTGTACTTAAATGGACACACACTTGAAAAACCACATTTCTATCAGAACACTTTGCACCTATTCTTACAATTAACTTACGAAAATTTACCTGTTACAGTAATTTTGTATATACAGTTTAAAGATCTGTGTAGTATGATATGAGACCTCTTTAGAGTGCTGGCAGTGGAGGGACAAATTGGACTCTAGTCTAAGCTAGTGTTTATCCAAGAATGAAATTTAATCCCTAGACAGACCGCAAAAGTCTTATGCACCGCTCAAGTTTTACTTAGTGCTTACATGGGGCCTATTT